TCATGACATATGCTCCTTTGTCACTTGATTTCTTCACCGACGAATCAAATGGAACATACATCTCTTCTTCATGTCAATAAAAACACTCTTGCAACATCACGCTTTATGCCTACAGGGCACTCCGTTGTGTGGTACTTTTATTAATTATTTGATCAGTTTCCTATTGTTACACATTTACTTGCTTCCAAATATGACTATTGCAAATAGTGTAGTAAGCATACTTACTCATGTCTTTCTAAACATTGTTTCCCTTGGTTCCTCCTTTAACATGGAATTGTTGAGTCAGCGAGTTCTTATATATTTATGGCTTATATATATTGCCAACAGCCCTGCCCTACAGCAAAGGCCCCCCCCCACCATTCACATCATTATGTCATCACTTTGTATGAATGTTCTTTTCTCCTCTCATTCTTTTTTTTTAAGATTTATTTATTTATTTGGGGGGTTGTGAACATGGTTGGGGGATTAGGTAGAGGGAGAGCCTTAAGGAGCACCCCCTCACCAGCACTGAGCACGGAACCCCATGGGGGCTCAATCTCACCATCCTGAGATCACGACCTGAGCCAAAAACAAGAGTTGGACATTCAACCAACTGTGCCACCCAGGCGTCCCTTCTCTCATTCTTACCTACAATTGGTTTCATTCTGATATCTAACAAATTTAACAGTACTATAAAAAACACTGATTTGTTTTATTTTTTATTTCTTAAATTTTTAGTAATGCTAAATATTATTTCATGTGTGCATTTGTTTCCTAAGGCTACTGTAACAAAGCACAACAAATTGTGTGGCTTTAAACAACAGAAATGGCTCACAGTTCCAGAGGCCAGAAGTCCAAAGTCAAGGTGACAAGATTTGTCCAGGCCCAGTTCTGCCTCTCTAACTGTGGGCTCTGTGCTTCTCCCCACTGCTGAGAAATCATTAGGTAGCTCCATGGGAAAGATACTCTCAGGCTTCCTGAGGACCTCTCTACCTGGACCTACAATGCAGTCATCATCTCTCTGGATTCTGGTTACCAATCTAGGGTTCTACAAAGTCAGCTCTTGGACTGCTTCACCACCTGAGGGTCTACCAGCCCCCATCCCAGGACTCACTCAAGTGTTTTCTTTCCTTTTTTCTTCCTTCCTTCCTTTTTTTTTTTTTTTTGAGATTTTATTTATTTATTTGACAGACAGAGATTACAAGCAGACAGAGAGGCAGGCAGAGAGAGAGGAGGAAGCAGGCTCCCCGCTGAGCAGAGAGCCTGATGCGGAGCTCCATCCTAGGACCCCAGGATCATGACCTGAGCAGAGGACAGAGGCTTTAACCCACTGAGCAACCCAGCCGCCCTTATGAGAAATAAATATTTAGGGGCACCTGGGTGGCTGAGTTGGTTTGAGCATCTGCCTTCGGCCTGGGTCATAATCCTCAGGTCCGGAGATAAAGCCCCACATAAGGCTCCCTGTTCAGTGGGTAGCCTGCTTCTCCCTCTCCCTCTGCCTGCTACTTCCCTCTGCTTGTGCCGTCTCTCTGTCTTTCTGTCAAATAAATAATAAAAATCTTTCAATAAAGAAATATTTATCGTGTTCAATCCAAAAAATTTAAGAAAAATCCCAACAATGGCATTTAGAATAGTAGGGTAGTACCTATGGATTTAAAATTTTTAATTTCTCAATTTATTATTGCTTCTGTCTGGTTTCCAAATATTTTTTATTAAATACCTCTATAATGAAATAAATGTGTTCATTCATTAGACAAATCTTTACTAATAGGTTAGTATACGCCAAACACAAAGAATTAAGGAAGAGCAGGGGTGCCTGGGTGGCTCTGGTGGTTAAGGGACTATCTTCAGCTCGAGTCCTGGTCCTGGAGTTCAGGATGGAGTCCTGAGTGGGGCTCCCTGTTGACTGGGGAGTCTGCTTCTCCCTCTGACCCACCCATATCTCCTGCTCTCGCACGCTCTCTCTCTCTCAAATAAATAAATAAAGTATTTTTTAAAAAGAATTGAGGGGGAACAATGAAAAAGATAAACATGGTCCTTGTCCTCGAAGAGGTTTTAATCTAGGGGAAAAAAGAACACAGGACAAGTAATGAGCAGTAGTGATGAGCACTGTCACAGATCAATACAGGGTGTGAAAAGAAGCCATGACAGAGGAGCATATGCTGTGGAGAGGCAGTTAGAAAAGTCTTTCTGAGGTCCTAAAGCAAATTTCAGCAAATTTCAAAAGGCAGAGAATGTTTGATAACGTTAATGCAGTCGCCTCTCCAAATGACAGGAAAAGTTATCTTAAAAATATTCATATGCTTGGAAATTAAGAGACACACTTCTAAATAATTGATGAATCAAAGAAGAGTTCGTAATGGAAATTAGAAAATGTTTGAGCAAACTATATTCCAAACTTGTGAGAGTAGCTAAAGCAGTGTAAGAGGGACACAATCCTAAAAACACACATAGAGGGGCACCTGGGTGGCTCAGTGGGTTAAGGCCTCTGCCTTCGGCACAGGTCTTGATCCCAGAGTCCTAGGATTGAGCCCCACATCGGAGAACCGCAGGGCATCAGGCTCTCTGCTCAGCAGGGAGTCTGCTCAGCCCCCCTTCTCTCTCTGCCTGCCTCTCTGCCTACTTGTGATCTCTTTCAAATAAATAAATAAAATAATAATTTTTAAAAAAGTACAATTAACCCCTGAACAACATGGGTTTGAACCACACCAGTCCACTTATATAGGGACTTTTTTTTTTCAATAAATACAGTACTACAAATGTATTTTCTCTTAGGATTTTCTTAATATTTTCTTTTCTCTAGCTTACTTCATTATAAGAATATAGTATATAGTACATAAAACAAGCAAAATATCTTAATCAACTGTTAACAATAAGGCTTCTGGTCAACAATAAACTATTAGTTTAAGTTTTGGGGGATTCAAAAGTTATATGGGGATTTTTCCACTGGGGGTGGAGGTCAGGGCCGCAATCCCACATTAACCTCATATTGTCCGAGGGTCGATTGTACGTACATACATGAAATTAAGGAAAAGGAAAATTTAATCTGTAGTAACAGCAAATCAGTTGTTGCCTGAGGTCAAGGGTAGGGGAGTAAGGGGGAGAAAAGGGAAGACTGACTACGAAAAGGCAAGGTTTGTTAAAAATCCTCGAGCTATATAACTAAGATTTGCGCTTTGATCTGGATATTAATTATGTCAAATATTATTTTAAGACTCTGAAGGAAGACAGGGAAGGAGGAAGGACAGGATGGAGACAGTGATTCCCAGCTCCCCTGTCCAGCCCCGGGGGGGGGGGGGGGGGCTCAGGTTCAGCAGGGGGTGCGGGGCGGGGCCAGGAGGGGAGGAGGGGCAGACGCCTGCATGCCTGATGGAGAGGCGGGGGCACAGCAGGGAGGCTGGATGCAGTTCCTCCTTTCCGACGCCAGGCGGCGGCGTGGGCGGGGAAGAGTGGCGGTGACCCCGGCCGCCGCAGCAAGGGGGCGGGCCGAACGCCGGGCTCCATGTGGGCGCCGGCGCGGAGAGTGTGCAGCGCGGAGTCGCAATGGCGGAGATGCAGCAGCTGCGGGTACAGGAGGCAGTGGACTCCATGGTGAAGAGTCTGGAGAGAGAGAATATCAGGAAGATGCAGGTAGCGGGCGGGGGTCAGGCCGGGGAGTCCCGGCAGTCCTCGATTCCTTTGGCAGCCGCGGCGCGCCGCTGCCCGCCTCTCCGCAGACCCGAGTCGGGGCGTCCCTGGGGTTGCCGCCGCGCTCTCGGAAACACCTCTCACCCTCAGAAGTCCTGGAGCTTCCGCCGAGTGGATGAAATCTGTGTTCCCTCCCCACGCGCAAAGCTGTTTTCCCCCCAGGCCAGTTCCGGGGAGGGGGTGTTAGACCCCGGACCAGCGTTAGAATGCCCTTGGTGTGAGGCGTTCGGTGTCCACCCCCTCCCCGCGTTCCTGTGTAGCGCTGCCCCTTCGGCAGGTGAGCAGGCGGAGGCCCAGAAAGGGCACGGCCAAGGTGAAACACCGGAAAGTCAAAAGCGTTTGGCTTCCTCAGTGGCCATGTCATGCCGGTTTTAGTGTCGCTCCACACAGCGCTGGTTTGTAAGCCGTTGTGCTTTGATCGCCTAAATGGTCTGTGGCTGTTGGTCCTGCCTCCCTAACCAAATTGTGGGGTTTCTGTTACAGCGCTTCTTGAGTCATTGATTAATGGATCGGTTGCCCCCTGGTGGAAAGCAGATTGCTAGAGGTTGCTGACCTCTGAGCCGAGTGGCATAGGTACCTGGTTTTCAGAATTTGACTTCTGACCCACCGCTACCTTCTCCGTCCACCCAGTCTACGGTGCAACAAGTGCCAATGAGCTAGCAGCAAGAAGGCCATGGAACCTTCTGCTAGGCTTCGAGTATACTTTTCCCATGTGTGGTTTTAGGTTCCTGATGTCTGTTAGGAGAGGTGCAAATAGAGATGCTCCTCTGTTGCACTCCATGATTATCTCTGTCCCAGAGGCTTTCCCGCCTCACCTATCTCTCTCTCTCTCTCTGCCCTCCGTCCCCAGGGCCTCATGTTCCGGTGCAGTGCCAGCTGTTGTGAGGACAGCCAGGCGTCCATGCAGCAGGTGCACCAGTGCATTGAACGCTGCCATGCGCCTCTGGCTCAAGCCCAGGCCCTGGTGACCAGTGAGCTGGAGAAGTTCCAGGTGAGAAATGCCCCAGGCAGAGGACTTCACGCCTTGATGGTGCTCTTTTTTTGCAAGAGATGACAAGCATTCATTCAGAACTCTTGGCTTTAGCGTCTTGGTTCTTTTAACATTTGGGACAGTCTTGTGGCCAGGCAGTCTTTATGGGGTTCTTTTAACATTTGGGACAGTCTTGTGGCCAGGCAGTCTTTATGGGGTTTGAAATTTGGGAAAAACTCCTGGAGGTTGAGTGCTATAAGTATTTCCAGAGACAAAATGATGTGAAAAGGAGTTCATGACCAAGAGCCTTTTCCCTCCCATAGACACAAAATACAATATATATACTGTATAGTGTAAAGCCTCCTAAGACATGTATTCATTCATTTTAAGCTAGTAGAATCCCCAGGGAAGTGGAGTAGGCTAGTCATGAAGAGATGCAGATTGGAGCAGTATCTTGCCATCCTGTTGTGGACACACCTACCCAGAACGACCCCTGTTTGCTACACCTAGGGGGCAGCCCCCGTGTCACTAAAGAACAGTCATTTATGTGAAGGAGTAGTAATACTGACTCGTTGATGCCTTCCTCGCAAGCCCCTCTGAGGTCACTAAGAGCAAAAGGTATCCACTGTATCTCTTTCTGGAGAAAAGGGTAGCCGCAACTTCATTTTATTCCCTTTCTATGACTGGAGGTTGGAGAAAGCAGAGCCCACTTCTGAACCAGTTTTTTGAAGCCTGAGATCCTGTTCACATGGGAGAAATTGTAGCTAATATACAACTTTTACATTCTGCTCTATGGAATTCTTCAAAATCACTGACACTGCAAAGGACTGACTTACCCAAGATCCTGAACCCGGAGAGGTTTCTTTGTGTTCATTTTGACAGCTAATTTTATTAATAGGGTCTTCGACATTTTGATTCTTGAATTGCTGTATAACTTTCTCCTTCTGTTCACTTTTTAGTCTTCTCCAATTAGGCTTACTCTTCCACTCACCAGAACTGCTCTCGGGGGCTCCCCTCCATGGAACTAAATCCAGTGTAATTTCTCATCCCTCGTTTTACTCAGCCTGTCTGCATCACTGACACAGTGATCACTCGCCTCCTTGAAACAGTTTGTTCAGTTGGGCATCAAGATACCTCACTCTGGGGGCGCCTGGGTGGCTCAGTGGGTTAAAGCCTCTGCCTTCAGCTCAGGTCATGATCCCAGGGTCCTGGGATCGAGCCCCGCATCGGGCTCTCTGCTCCGCAGGGAGCCTGCTTCCCCCTCTCTCTCTGCCTGCCTCTCTGCCTGCCTCTCTGCCTACTTGTGATCTCTGTCTGTCAAATAAATAAATAAAATCTTAAAAAAAAAAAAAAAAAAGAAAAGAAAGAAAAGAAAAGATACCTCACTCTGGTTTTCTACCTCTTTCCCTGGCCATCCTTCCTTGGGCTCCTTTCCTCCTTTTCCCCTCCAGCCTGTGAGCATTGGAATGCCTAGTGCTGTCCTTGGACCTTTTTTCAATCTAATTCTCTAGTCTCATAGCTATAAATATCTGCTATAAATATCATCGATAGGCCGACAACTCTTACATTCATTCATCTCTAGACAAAATTCACTCCTGATCTCCATATTCATATATCCAGCTGCTTCAACATCTCCCCTCATTTTTTCTATCTCCCCTCACTGGAATGTAAGTTCTATGAGGGCAAGAACTTTATCTGTTTTATTCATTGTTATATTCCCCAGCATTAGGAGAGTACCTGACACATAGTAGACACTCAGTAAATATTTGTTGAGTGTTTTTCTAAAGCAAGGACAGGTATTAAAGAATCTTAACTGTAGCTGACCAACAGCAGCCTCTAGTTACTTCCCACTTCCTGGAGGGGGCTTCTGTATCATTTATTCTGTTAATCATCTGCTTTCTTATCATGCTTTTTCTGGACCCTCCTGATGCTACCCTCTATTTCAGTCAGGATAATCTTGGTTAATTGCACTATAGTGTCCCTTTAATTGATCAAGATTATATATGTCAAGCCACAATATGTAGCAAGGGACCTAGCACATGGTAGGCACTTGGTAAATGGAGGTCAGCCTTTCAGCCTTCTCTACCTTCTTCCTTCTTGCCGCAGGACCGCCTTGCCCGATGCACCATGCATTGCAATGACAAAGCCAAAGATTCAATAGATGCAGGAAGTAAAGAGCTTCAGGTGAAGCGGCAGCTGGAGAGTTGTGTGACCAAGTGTGTGGATGACCACATGCACCTCATCCCGACCATGACCAAGAAGATGAAGGAGTCTCTCTTGTCCATTGGGAAATAGAGGTCTTCACAATTGGCCATCAGAGCTCATGGCAGGAATCCATTTGAGAAGAAATGGGAGTTTGGGTCTTTTAAATGAAGTTTATGAAGAAATTAACAATGGCAGCAAGTTTGAGGCCCATGTCACTTGCCTCTGGACACTGGTTCCTTTATGTTTCGAACCTAAAAAAGTGAAATGGAAAAAACTGGTGCTAAAATTTGAAAAAAACTGGTCAGAGATGGCACAGGAGAGTTTTTGATAGCCTAAATTTCACATGCTTGTCCTGGCACTAGGGATCTCCCTTGAACCAAGCCAGAGCTGACCTCCAAGATACCAGATTCTTCTCAGTACACAGGTAACAACAGGCTGGCAGATTCCTAATCTGCCTATGATCTGGTGGTGTGAGCAAAGATGTTTCTGTTTGTTGCCAACTTCCTATTTACCAGAAGGATCACCAAATCATTTTTCTATAAGCTGTAAAACAAAATCCACAATGTCACTAATTTAGAAGGGAGAAAAGGTTTCTGGGTCTTTGTTTTGCTTGGTTTTATTTTATATATAAGGGCATGAAGTTGATTTAAGATGTGGAGTTGGGAGGGGTAGTTGAGTTAAGAACTTGGAACAGTTCTTGTGGATATCTGTTTCTGGCCATCAAGATATGGATATGCTTTTCTTGAAATATCCATTACATCTTCCAGCTAGGTAGGAGACCCTGTAAAAACATGACAGGCGATGTTACACTGGGTATGGGAAGCAGATCTTCCCTCTCACTGGCTGCTGTGATGGGCCCTGAGGCTGTCTGCTAGAGTACAACAGGACAATCTCGCAGTGACACTCTTCCTTGAAAGGGGGTTTTGATTGCACTATATACAAGTATCCAGGAATGAACACTGAAGGAGGAACTGTTGTCTTCTTAATTTCAAGTTATTAGATACTGGATTTGGAAAAACCTGGTTTTTATAGAACAGAATGGAATGAAAGCCTAAACTCAGTATTGCTTATTTTGCCCCCTCAAATAATATGGCCATATTGGGACAATCCCTTGGCAACCAGAAGGTCAAAGCAGAACAAGTAGGTGAATCGGGTGAGCTGTGATTCCTTTAAAGGAAAAGAGGGAAAGCCCCCCTCCATTACCAAACACCACTTTTGCCTAGGGCCTTTGCAGCAAGCAGTGTTCTGCCCCAGCTCTAGCACCTTTTCATTTTGATAAGGACCTTATTGTCTTTTTACCAACTTATTACTTGAAATGATAATATAGCCTGTGTTTGGTGTTTCAAGGCTGTGATATATTTTCCTAGTGGTTCAGTTTTAAAAAATAAATAAGGTTTAGTTTTTCCTCCACTATTATGTTTCTTATGTCTGGGTGTGACTATACAACTTTCTTAGGATGCTTCTCTTTGTAGTTTGTGAAATAAGCTTCTTAAGAGGTCATGAAGAGTGAAAATTAAAAAAAAAAATTAAGAGTAAATTAGTTATGAACTATGATTCAAATGCAGGAAAACTGAGGTCAGGCTACAGCACAATGACTTAAAGTCCATTTGTGAGGGGGAAAAATTGCTGTAAGGCTAAGAAAAATTCAATATCCATTTCAGGATTCTAGCTTCAACTCAACACTAACAGCAAGAGGTGGAAAGGGTAATTAATGATCCCTCTTAAGAAAATGCAACATTTAAGATTTTGAGTGTCAAGAGAGTATCAACTATGTAATGAGTTTAATTAAGTCTTTACTATCATTCGTATTTAAATGGAGCCATTCCTGAACATTAGGAATGAATCGAATTTTAGAAAATCATCCCCTATTAGAATCACAATGGCTTTACTATTGTGACTTAAATCTTATATAATCCCAAGTTGTATTTTATTCGTACGTATGCATTCGCCTCTTTTGGGTAACTTAAGTGGGAACAAGTTGGAATTCACTTTTTACACTTGATTTTCAAGTCAAGAGTATCTCATATTAGAGATCATTACGTTTTTTATATTGGAGCACGGTACATCAAGTGGGGTTCTGGAGGCAGTGTTACAAGATTTGGAGGATTGTCATTAGGGAATACACTCAAGATTCAAATTCCTAGAAACTGAAGCAACTTCACCCTACTAATCTGGTGTCCAGAGGTCACGAAAGATGTTCTTGGAACCCTAGGCTTAGCGTGACAATATGTGGGAATACGTGCCAAAGAACTATTAAGAGGCCCAGTCCTCTAGAACCTGTATTCACGGTATATATGAAGAAGACAACCAAGGCAATGCAACAGAGAGAGGGATAAACCAGCTCCGCTTAGAGACTAGAGACGGAACCGCTAAGTCAATTTTACAAACGAGGAAACGGAACTGAGAAGATGACTAGTCCCACCCCTAACCCCATCTAGGCCAGTGGGTGGCGACGCAACCGGAAACACAAGATCGATCGACAAGTTCAGGCGCCCCCAAAGTATCGCGAGGCGAAATGTGAACTCCTCCGAGAATTGATTGGCTGACAGGGTCGATGACGTCAGACGCGAAACGCAGGGCCTACCGCGGGAGCGCGAGGGACTCCACGAATTCAGTTTGGAGGCATCTTTGAGCTCGCCGAGTAGACGCCATGAGCAAAGCTCACCCGCCCGAGTTGAAAAAGTAAGTATGTGAAAGGTCCAGGTGGCGGCTTCTCTGCGTGCGTTGAGTTCCTTAGATCCTCTCCATTATCTGCAGTGTGCCTGGCGTGCGTGTTCCGGCCCGAGGCAGCCGAGAACCCGACAGGGTCTCGCGCCTCGGTACGTGAAGCCCTCGCCGACGTCTCGTTTCGCCCTGGTTGGCCTGACATAGTTCCCAGTGGCAGAAGAGGCGCCTCTGTTCTGCTGTCTCGCCTTCCTGGGTGCATCTCCCGGTCCCCCGACCCCCACGCACTCCCTCTCCCTCCTTGCTTGGAGACCCTGGAGTGCCATCCTTTGTTGGACTGCTTGAATAGCCTTAAGTGCTAGGTAGGGTGGCTGGAGAGTAGTTCTGGAGAGAACTAAGAAGATGGGTGGAATGGAAGTGTTTAATAGTAGGTGAGGATTCAGAAGCCACCTTAATCTTAGAGTGTGTTTGTAGCTGTTTTCTTCGAGCTTTAATTTAGAAATCCCATTCCTTTCTGTTGCTTTCTTGTGCTGAAGTTAAACTTGAATGTCACGTGAGCTCTTGCTCTGTTAACAGAGCTGTGTGAGAACGTTCGTTTTTTTATCAGAGAAAACGGGATTTTTTTTTCTGCGCCCAATAAAAAAATCTCAAATAGGATTTTCCTACTTTAAAGCTTTAACTTCCTTAAAGACTCGACTAAACTTAACATGTTGGATGCCTAAGTATTTCTCTATTTCGTTTATACCGTGTAATTGTAGATTCTGCACGTAGTAGATGGATAGAACAAATTATGAAAAACTGATTCAGGAATCGATTGGGGAAACAGTCATCTGGCCTGTGTATAGTTCACTTATTACCAGCCTCATAGAGAAGTCAGACTTAAGAAAAGGGTCATATTTGATAATTTTACATTTAGGGGCTCTTCGTGGTGCAGTCAGTTAAGCATCCAACTCTTTGTTTCAGCTCAGTTTATGATGGCAAGGTGGTGAGATCAACCACATGTCCGGTTCTCAGCCCAACTTGGAGTCTTGCTTAGTGTTTGTCTCTCCGTCTGCTCCTCCCCACTGTTCTCTCTTTCACTCAAAAAAATGAATCTTTAAAAAAAATTAATTTTACATTTAAATGCACATCTGTATCAAAGCATTTTTTGTGCAAAAACTCCATGTATATTTTACTCGGATCCCTTAAGGAATTACTAATCGTAAGTCTAACAGTAAGAAAAATAGAAATTATTTTGAAAATGCTGATCTAAACTTACTCTTTTATTGACGGGCTGGTAAAATCTTAGAAGTGTCTTCTGGATTCTTCAAGAACTGGTGAAATGCTAATTATATTTTAATGAAAGAACATTGTCTGCTTGTAATCTTAGATTTCCTTTTTTGTTTCTTAACAGATACTTTTTTTGTTGTTGTTAACAGATATTTGAGAATTTCAGAGGACGAACCTAGTTTTAATATTTTTCTTATCTCTAGATTACACGTATGGTGAAATCCTTTGGGACCTGCCTCCAAAATGACCTTAGGGGTTTTTTTCCTTTAATTTCTCACAAATACCTTTTACTCTTTATACACTTCGCCTGGTTTAGCTTAACTCAGTGGTTATTAACTGGAAGGGAGGGAGTCTGGTTTTATTGGCAGGCATCTAGTAAGTAGAAGCTAGGGATGCTGCTAAACATTGTCAGTGCACTGGACATCCCTCAACAAAGAATTACCTGGCTCCAGATGTTAATATGCCGAGGTTGAGATACCCAGACCTAACCAGATTCTCCATCCCACCTCTTAAAAATCACTGCCACAGTGGTCTTGCCAGTAACCAGACTCTGCCTTAATAATTTATCACTGTCTGAATGATAAAGTTCGGGCTCTTTGACAAAGCATTCAAGCTCTTCCATCTGAAACCCAAGTGCCAGGTATTACACACGCTAATGGAGTGCCCCCATTCTCCAGCCAAACTGAACCATTTGCGTTTGTTCAAACTTCCTCACCTCCTCTCTGACTTTGGATAATTAAATCTTTCTGAACCTCGGTTCCTCATCTGTAAAATGGTTCTAGTAACAATACATAACTTACAAAGTCATCATAAGGGTTGAATAAGTTCATGTGTGTTATATTTGCTGTGTTGTATATAATCATATTAAAATGGATTATATATCTTTTTTTTGTTGTTTTGGTTTTTAAGATTTTATTTATTTATTTAAAAGGTTTTATTTATTTGAGAGACAGAGATCACAGGTAGGCAGAGAGGCAGGCAGAGAGAGAGGAAGGGAAGCAGGCTCCCTGCTGAGAGGAGAGCCTGATGCGAGGCTCCATCCCAGGACCCTGGGATCATGACCTGAGCTGAAGGCAGAGGCTTTAACCCACTGAGCCACCCAGGTGCCCCTAACTTATTTATTTTAGAGAGCACATGTGAGGGGAGGGGTGGAGGGAGAGGGACAAGCAGACTCCACTCTGAGCGCAGAGCCCTAAGTCGGATTCCTTCTCACAACCCTAAGATCGTGACCTGAGCCAAACCAAGTCAGGTGCTCAACTGGGGCGCCACCCAGGTGCCCCGGGGGTATGTCTTCTAATTCTCCCGTGAACTGTTACACATTAAATTGGATGGAATTTCAGGGGTGCCTGGGTGACTCAGTTGGTTAAGCGTCCCATTCGTGGTTGCAGCACAGGTCATGAGCTCATGGGTGGTAAGATGGAGCCCTTTGTCAGTCTCCACACTCAGCAGGGAGTCTGCTTAATGCTCTCTCCCTTTGCCCCTCCCCACTTGTGCACACATGCATGTTCTCAAACTTTAAAAAAAAACTAATGGCATTTCATATTTTCTAGCCTGTAACTAGTTTAATTAATCAAGACTGGTTTGATTACGTGGCTTAATATTTCCATAATGCCCTACTGAGATGGGATTTCCCTGTTTGAGATTTTTTAAGGATTCAAAATATGTATTTATTTTGCTAAAAAATACGTGTTGAGGAATATCTTGAACACCTAAGTGTGATGCTTAATATTAAAGTAACACTCTATTGTCTCAAGTATAAAATAAAATAGCTATTGAGTTGAATATGGTTTGATTACCTTCTAGTTTCCTCACAACTTTGTTTGGTTTTGGTAATAACTGAAATATAAACAGATCATTGTTTTTCTGTTACGGCTCTAAAACCCAGTCATCAAGGGGTCCTGGCTGACTCAGTCAGTGGAGCGTATAACTCTTAATCTCTAGGTTGTGAGCCCATGTTAGGTGTAGAGATTTTAAAAATAATCTTTTTTAAGATTTACTTTTTATTATTTTGCCCCTTCCCAAATTACATTGTGTAAGTGCTAAATAAGGTAGCCCATTATTCCCTACTCTACAAGAATACAAGTTTTTTACTATTTTAAATTTCATCATTTTTATTGTGCAGTTTTAGCAAATTCTATTGACTGTACCTATTTTATGCTTACTTGTGCTTAAAATTTTTTAATCAGGGGGCACCTGGGTGGCTTAGTGGGTTAAATAGCCTCTGCCTTCGGTTCAGGTCATGATCCCAGGGTCCTGGAATCGAGCCCCGCATCAGGCTCTCTGCTCAGCAGGGAGCTTGCTTCCTCCTCTCTCTCTCTGCCTGCTTGTGATCTCTGTCTGTCAAATAAATAAATAAAATCTTTAAAAAAAATTTTTTTTTAATCAGTTATGTAATTTGTACCCCTTTTTGCTTTTTCAGATTTATGGACAAGAAATTATCATGTAAGTTTCTTGGGGTTTTTTATTTTTAATTGGTTGCT